CGGATGCTGGGTCCACTTCGTAGGGCGCACTGTGGAGGTCGTAGCTTGGGACGGTTGAACTGTCATGCATAATAATTACTCACTAGTACTGCAGATAGACTGGCAAGGAATGGATACCCGAACAGCTTCGTCAGCCGCTGCCTCCGCACGCAACAAGGGTGAACAAACGGAGGAGAGCCGCCAACACTCTGGCACCCTCTACCATATATAAAGAACGTGTCTGAAGCGATGGAAGATATCGCTGGAGAACTCGGCGTGGGTATCGCTCACCGTCCGACAGCGACCATGCGCAACAAAATCGTGCGAGTAAGGGACCGACTTGACGTGGGAGAACAATCGGGTGCCGTTTATCAGGTCCCATGTCAGGACTGCCCTCGCCACTACACAGGACAGACCGGACGATGACTTAGATCACGAATAACGGAGCATAAAGGGGCGGTCTGGAGAGGCGACCCGTTGTCTCAAGTCGCCATTCACACCCTGGAGGAAGGCCACGAATTCAACTTCGTGAGCACGAGGATAGTAGCGCGAGCCAACAATAAGACAGGGCGAGAACTGTTGGAGGCCTCGGTGTCTGACACCAACTCTATCAACAGGCACGTTGACATAGCCCCCCTTCGCTATCACGCGCTCCGTTCCCGCGGCCAAGAGGCGAGACCCAGTTCCCAGCCAAGGGTGCACGCAGTCACGCCGCCGTGAGACGGCGTGAGAGTCAGCCTATCGCGAATACCATCCTCTGCACTCATATTCCCCCCCTTCATGGCTTGACTACAAAAACTTCTCTTTTGATGCCGCATTCTCACAGTCTCTGACGCTAGCCTCCTGTATGAGACCGAAAGCTCAGACTAATACACCTACTGTCCCAGGGATCGTGTGTTCATCTTCTTAACAAGACTCCTTATGTAAAAGGACGACGGCGCAGGTATGGAAATAACCAACTGATTTGAGAGGCAAGAAGACAAGAGACAGCGCAGCCTGAAGAGATCGTGGGTTATCGAGACAACAAAGAATTCTGGTTATCAGAAGGATCGAAATGGAAGGGATCGCATGTAAAGAATGTCAACGAAAACAACTAATTTCTTGGCATTTTTCCGAACGGAAATGACTTCTTGCTAAGTCTGCCAAACCAGTTGACGTGGGATGCAATTATAAGGACATAAGTGTACAGAAGCGTATTGACTACTGATGGAGCGTCTTTTCAGTCAACCGTACAAACCGCTCCAAAAAGGTCATTTCATAGATAATGCGTGCTCTTCCAGTAGATTTTCGATGAAAATTATATCCCATCTGCCGGAGGGGATGTCGAAAATACCCCGCATCCTCATAAGGAATAGCACCCACCCCCCAGAGTCTCCACGTTGAGGAACGGAGTTCTCTGTTTCCCGAAAGTTGGGATCTGCGTTTTCACATTTTGTTCAGAGTTTATAACTTCATTTCACTTATTATATTTAAAAGCAAATAGCATACCAATTCGTGCCCCCATGAGGACTCCGTCTTACTTATAAAATAACATAATGTTGCATGCTTTGTAGACAGCAACAATGAAACCAAAGATAGTAAGCCACAGTAACTATCACATTAGCACCTCAGGACTTGAAGCGAAAGTGAATATTTGTTAACAGCCAAAAGAAAGCGCTCATCTGAGCACAATACCTAATAAATGCACAATTTCGCATTAAACATGGATAATAAATGGACACATTGTGTAGTATTTTTCGTGAAATATGATTTGCTTTTTTTGCAGGCATCAAAAATCCACTGAAAACCACACACTGATTTCGCTGTTATTATTGTTGGCTAGAAGGGTGTGAGCACGCTAGTCTGCCTGAGGTTATGGTACATAATGATCAGTTTGGAAACCTAATTTTCTTCGAAGGTCTATCGAAGTCCCGATCAGTACTTCATGAGTCTCAGTGTATTACGGTGTAAATTACGATCGGCGTAGATTAGACCTTGTTCTTGATACTACTGACTAAAGACCTATCAAATGGCCTACAGCATATTTGTATTGTAGCTGACATTTAAAAGACCGAGTTGACCCACTGTTGTTTAGTCAAACGAGCCAGAATAAGACGGCCACTTCTCAAACAATGATGGGATCCGCAACTTAAGACAACGACGCCAAAGCCTGCCGACCGTCATTATAATGGCCAGTCGGTAAGCGTAAGACTTTCTGCACGCAACAGAAGGGAGGCACGTTTTCAGTTCTTACGCAGTCAGGCCTGCAATGAGCAGACGGACGCGTGGGTAATAGTTTTTAAAAGCAAATGTAGGACGGGCGACTTGTTGGCAACAGGAGAACTACATAAGAACTGCATGCAGCTGTACGAGCGCGCGGATCAAAGCGTTGATTTACTTCGGCCAACAAGTCAAGAACATAGCCTTAGTCCAGCAAGCTATACTTTGCTGTTATCGTTTAGTATACCTACTCCAGAAAATCATCAAACAATTTGTTGGGAAGCACAAAATAACCGACAAATGTTAAGACATCGACATAAGAACATACCCTCGGCACCTTTCGGGACAGGCAAACCACAGAAATAGCGAGAGGGGGAATGCAACAGGAAGTGTGCTTGTTGCTGTTGTTGTGAACGATTGCCAATCAACACATAATCCGACTCCTTTCGAACGGGTTGAAACAATTTAAAGTCCAGCTGTGCCTGCATAACCTTAAGTTCGGCCTGCGAAGACTAGTGTGGGTAACAACGAAAGAATGAAATTACCTTGCTGTAAATGTAGTACGCCAACTGAAAGAGCACTAGCTGAAGTATAATTATTGCACACAAGATCGAAACATTTCGGCGTTTCGTGAGGGAGAAGGCGCACCTCGACCAATTCTTTCGCACAAAACACATGGTGCGACAACAAGAAAGTAACTGCGATAATACCCGTGTAATAACTCGCTTGAGTCCTACAAAAGGAAGCGAACGGTTAAAGAGCGCTTGACTTTCTCAACATGGATGTGTCTAAGCTGAACTAATGGGTCACGCGACAACATACCTAGGCAGACCAGATTTGGTAATGAAAGTGGTTTCCGATCTTCGGAATGAAGCCTGGACTAGTATCTTCCGAATAGCTACACAAAGGCGTAAGACTATGCTTTCCAATCAACGTAAGGATACACAGGTTAATTTTGGCGGAGCCTCACAGTGTACGCCTTAATATAATAAGCGCAGACAGGAATGCTAGCTGTTCATTGGCATGGCGAATAGTGCAAGTCTCTGGAGTTCATACGAGGTACGTTGTGTCTAAGACATTTGCTGACACCTAGCGTGGGGGGAGGTTAATCGTACTGAGAATCTACACAACAACTGCGCACATAGAGCCCAGGTGCACACATTTAACTGTCGGAATAGATAAAAAGGCAGGTATGAAGACCTGCTGGAAGTTTGAGTCGAAGTCTAGCTACAGAACGAAAGGGGCATATGCATATCCGCAAAAATGAGTATACAAGAAAACAGTGGCAGGAGATTCCTGATGAGTAACGATACCGAAGATGTCCTACTTATTTGAACAGACTCCGTTAGTTATTTACACTTCTTAGGATGTGGCAAAATCACGGCTCGGTCTTCATATATTATTAAATTAGTCCAGTTAAGCATCCTTGTAAAACGTCCGAACATATTATTTACTCATTGCATGTTGAACTAGTCGGCAGCAATAAATAAGTTCTGAAGGAGACTCAAATGGGGCACGCCTACGTCGTCTAGCGTCTCATTCTGCAATAAACATGCGCAGCTGACAATTGCCAATCTTTCTTTTCGACCGCCTTAATTTCAGTCCAGTAAATCACAACGGAAACCGCATGTTAAAGGGAAAATTGAAAGCTCCAACATAATTCCTATGGCACGCTAAAAGTGTGGGTCCTTAGCCTTATTCTCTGCTCTAACACCCACGAAACTCCTTATCGTCGTCAAGATTCCAAGCAAACACCTCTTGCAGCAGTTTGCTGTCGAAGTTAGCCCCGCAGTCGGAATGTATCGACAACGGAACACCGAACCGGCAAATCCAGTTGTTAAAGATTGCGTTGGTGAGCGACACTGCGTCTTGGTGTAATAATGGCACAGCCTTTGCCCATTTGGTGAAATAATCCACCATCACCAGTATGAACCGATGACCGGTTGTCGTAAAGGTGAGGGGGCCGATGATGGCCAGGCCCAGCCGCTGGAACGGAAAGCTAGTGTGCATGGGTTGCAACGGTGCACGTGGGAGTTGTCTAGGTGCCTTGAACTTAGCGCACGTGGTGCATGTATTGCAGAAGGTGGCGACGTGTTATCGTAGATGGGGCCACCAAAATCGTTGCCGAGTGGCGACTTCTGTCTTGGCTTGCCCGATGTGGCCTAACTCGTTGTGTAGATCCGTGAGGACCACGTGTACGAGGCTGCCTGGTACTACTACTCTGTCGGTTTTTGTGCTCTCGTCCTTAATGAGAAGGATATCTTCGTCGATATGCAGCCGTGGCCATTGGCTCCGCAGTATATGTGCTACTTCTGACGACCCACGCAATTCATTGTCCGTAGGACGGTGTCGCCGGTTTAACAGGTGGTCGTATACTAATGCGGTATCCGGGTCTGTGCTCTGGGCTATTGCCCAATGGTGTCTAGCTGGTTCGCTGGCGTAAATGGCGTTTATTTCGCCTATCGCTCGGTTTTCATCGTGTGTGGCTGGCGTTGTTGGCCGTCGGGACAAGGCGTCGGCGTTGCCGTGTTGTTTCCCGGGGCGGTATGTACAAGTGAAATGATATTCCTGTAACATTTCCTGCCAACGAGCAAGTTGACCCTCTGCGTCCTTCGTGTTTTGTAGACATTGCAGAGCCTTATGATCGGAGCGTATGACGAACGGCTTTCCTAGCAGATATTGCCGAAATTGTTTGACGAAGGTGACTATGGCTAACAATTCACGTCGATATGTGCAACAATTTCGTTGTGGCTTGGTGAGTGTTTTACTAGCGAAACAGATAACGCGTTCTAGGTCGTTATCGTCGGTTTGCGAAAGTACACCTACCATGGCAAAGGCACTGGCGTCCGTGTCCAGTACGAAGGGTGGGCATCTCGACCGTGTGCGTCTTCAGGAAGAAGGGGACGGGAGGTTGAAGGGCACAATCGCAGGTAGCGTTCGGCCCTGGTGACGGCCTCTTGTAAACTGTCCGGCGGCTGCAACAACAGTGAGCGTGAAAGCTCGGATGCCGGCAGTGCTTTAATAAAATAATAAAGTACGGTGTTGTCTTTATCTGCGGAGCCCGAAGAGCGGAATGCCACAGTCGTCAGGCGTTCCAGATCCTCCACAAGCTGGTTTAGGGTTTCGTCCTGGTTAAATCTCCGTTGCTGCAACTGTTCCATTGCGTCGCCGAAGGAGTACGTATGGCTGAACAGGTTGGCCAGGCATTGGCAAAGCGCGTCAAAGGGAAAATCGGCGTCGAGACCAGCGTCGAGCGCTTTATCCAACTGTTTAGGCGCGAGGACCTTCAGTAATGTCCAGGGCCTGTCGGCCTCTGAGATCTCCCGCAAATAGAATTTCGCGCGTCTGAGCCAAACCGTAAAAGACTCGGTATCATCGTAGGGTGGTATGTCGACGGTGCGCGTTGTGTTTATGTTGTTGCCAGACATGTTCAGGGGTTGTGGGCACGGTCGTTGCGCTGCCACCACTGTAGTAGGCGGACCGTCCTGGGACTTCAGTTGGGAGGCTGGTTCCTGGCTTACGTCGACTCGCTCGATAGAAGGAGATGGGGATGGGGCCGTCTCCACCCTTCCTGAACGGTTGGGCTTAGATTTTGTCATCAGGCGACCAGACAACGTCTCAAACTACAGATGTGATCCGAACAGTCGAAGAAAATGTAACAGGTAAACGATATATTGGGAAAAGGGGGAAGTACGAAAACGAGAGGACAAGGGGGGTCAAAACGCGGAAAGTCTCAAGGGGTAATGGAGGGAAGACGAAACACTCGCTGGTCAGGGAAGCGGTTTCGGAGGTACGATATCCACGGGGTTTTGGGCGTTTCCTTGCTCACGTTCACCGTCCTCACCTTTCCGGTTCTTACAACGAAGTGGAAAAAGGTTAATTTGCACATCGACGCTGTGAGACAAACAAGCTACCATACTAGGTATGGAAGAAAGGCCTTCAAAATAACCGACAAGCTTCCGTAAATTCGGGAAGCAAAATAACAGAAAACAAGACATAAATATACCTGTTGAATTTTTTGACTGGATTCACCTTAACCTATAATAGACGTCGGAAGTGCATCGATGTTCGGTGGCTTTTTCATAGAACTTAGGCGAGTTTCAGCACTGGCTAGGTTCTGCAGGAGTATTTTTCAGAGGTTAGCGATCCTCTGACTCGGGTTTTTCCAACCAGTATGGGTTTAAACTGTGAGAGCCCTAGTAAAGTGAGTCCAATCCACCAGAAATGACGCGATGTCCAATAAAATCAGCACGGAAACACCTGCGTTCGAATGTGTGTTGTTAACCGGACAGATTATATAGCGACACTAAAAATTTGGTTCCTTATCGGAAGACATCGTAGTGGACTGCGTTCAAAACCTGGGTCGTTAAACAGTCTTCGAGATACCGACAAACGAATGGCGTCTACAGTATCCAACAATTTTACTTAGCGAGATTTAAAAGACACCTTTGAAATAGAAACTGCTTGCGTATCTTGACCACAGCCTTCAGGACGTTGTTCTGGATTTGCCAAGCTGACCAAAATAAAAATCCCTAGATCACGGCCATATCGTGACTTGTGAACTGTCCTCATTCTTCATGGGCCGTTCATCAATAATGATGACTGCTAGGTCAAGCTAATTTCCTTTTATTGACTGCGGGATCTTATTCGCTGACGCAAACGCTGGATCAAAATGTTTTCATGGACTGACGCAAGAGAAATATTTTAGTAAGGCGTTTTTATACCACCGACCAGAAGGAAGCAATTTCATGTTAAATCGCTAAATGAACTTTTTACGATTTTCACGAGTGGTAGTGTCCCAAGGCAGTTTTTTGCGCACGAGTTCAAAACCTCACATATATTTCCCAACTACACTGAACCAAGGGAGGAATGTGGGAAAGAAGTCATAGGGTGTTAAGACGACACAGGAAGCTTCTTCCCCGTTAGCGACACCCATACAAATACTGACACCCGTAGCTGAAAGCGATCTTTGCCGGTTGATTGTTGAGCTCCACCTAAAGGGCTCACAGTCAACTATAGGAAGTAGCGGCCCTACTTCTCTTATTCGTATACTCTGACGGGATCAGGTTATCATCGAAAATGTTCAGCTATGTTTAACTGATATGACAACTGCCAATACTGATAAAGCGTATGAAAGTCAAACCTATAATGGCGCCTTAACCGACGCTTCAAACATCCTTGCCAATGTTATGTATATCGTCAACGGCACGCTTCCATTGGTAAAGCCAACCACTAAATTATCTGAACGTCGTCTCGGTCAGCTGTGCAATATCATTGCAAAATTTATTGTGACGACACTTTTGACTAATTAGCTCGTTTTAGGCGAATGTGTCGAGCAAGACTTCAGCCTCTTCCAAAAAAACCGAATATTAGCCTTTAGATTTGTTAATATGCTAACGTGCACAAGGCTTTCCGTTCTAAGGAAGTAGGTTCTTTGATTGTCTCTAATTATCCTTAAAGTCCTCCTAAGCAGTCGTTGAATGTGGAATGTGCGAAACAGTCTACATTTAAATAGGAATTCCCATCGGACATCGGGCCGGGAAGTAGCTTGCGGTCGGTCTGACAACCTTCTTTTGGGAGTAAAACGAATGAACTCACGTGAGAAGTAGGCAGAAAACGAGCAAAGAAGAAAATCGGGTAAATATCAAGGACAGGCAAATAATTCAAAGCAAGAGTTCATCCCCGCGGAAAAAGCCGGTCAGAAATACGGAAATCAGGTATGGCGTGCTTATAAACAGAGAATCCGTTTGGCGAAATGAGCAAGCCTAAATAATTAGTCGGTGACTTACACTAGTTATTATTAATCCGATAGAAACATAACCTTCCGATGATTTTTAGGATCATTACCTATCCATTAGTTGCTGTCGGCTCTTAAGAAGAGACGGAGGGAGGTGAGGAGGATAAATCGTTACTTCCGTTAACTGCCATCAACCTGCTTTCATTGAACAATACCGTAGGGTACGGGAGGTGGAAATTTTGTCCAAAACCACCTTCACCGAATAAAACTAACGTCAACATTTCCGGTCACGTACCTTTTTGCTAACCACACCACCGAATGCATGGTCTTTTAATCAGCAGACTGCATAAAACTTTCTTTAAACATATGTACATACTGTCGGGGCCTTTGGCGCTCCCAATGCCGGTTGGTAAATATGAACTATGCTTTAGCCATGTTTGATTTCCATTTGTAACAAGTGACGGCAGATGAGCTTTTAGGATACAGTGAATCTTTCGAGTCATATGAAGAAGACGGTAAAAAGTCAAATTGTCTAGACCCCGAATTACTCGATAAGAAATAGAGTCTTCGGTGGTTTACATAGAGGCTTAAGTCATTCGGTGTTCATTGGAGGACAGTTTAGTTTTGGATATGCCTCTTCACCGTATTTCTAATGATAATAATATCACCTAAGTAAATCCGTCTGCGGATATAAATGAGTTAACAAATTCAAAAAAAACGACTTGGAACGCGACAGGCGCGTTATGCAGATCAAACAACATATGTTCGGATTAAAGTGGGCCTTCGATAGGATGGAAGTCGATTTAAGTCGATCGTTCGGTCTCACTGTTACTTACTTATGACTTGATTTTATGTCATTAGGGGAAAACCACTCTGAGTCTGCCAGGTCATCGAGTGTCACAGTCATTATTGAGAAGGGATAGATTCCGTGATTGTCGTAGATTTGCTGCTCCAGTTTACGTTCAGATAGGTGGAAAGTGCTATGCACTTTCAATCTTCAGGAATTTTCCCTTGTCACCGTATCCTGCGGGACACCGTGGTAAGTTCGTCCGTGAGCTGAGGGCTCCAGTGCATACGAGTACATGCACTGACATTTTGTCATACATGAGGGAAAATGGAAGGCTTATATCGAGAGCAACAATGATTTTATATTGACCTTTCCAAAGCATGCAAGTATTCGTTACATGATGCTCATGTTCATGATGAACATGCTCATGTCCACCTTTCCCTTCGTTGGATTGTTTTCAAAAAACTAGATGAGTGGTAGGAATTGCAGAAGATGAGCTTATGCTACGTGGTTCTTTCAAAGGTTAATCACTTTACGCGCTTCTCTTCAAAGTTCGTTTTAAATTAAATTAAATTAAATTAACCAGTCAGGGAGATTCGATTGCCAGGCTTCTTTATTGAACTTCTTAACCTTGTGTTCACCTCATTTTCTACAGATAGAACTCACAGTGGATGAAGGTGCTCGAGTTGACCATCTCCTTTCCCTTGCCTAGGAATTTATGATAAAAACTTGACTAAGTTATATAAGCTCCGTCCTTGCACAAGAACTCTTTCGCAGTTAATTAAGTCTCTGGACAGCTCAGAGGAGGGAATGGTCAGGGCGCCTCTCTGGCAACTCGTAAACACTCCGTCCGCGTACTGATGTCGCGCCAACTCAGAAAACTTTTGAAGAAGGTAACACGATCGTCGAGTTTAATGGCTTACGCAACCAGGGGAATTAGCCAGAAATCCAGTCTGTGGGGGCCGAAGACGTTGTGGTGGCGCAAACGGATTAACGCGAAATGTTCGGGACAGATCCCAACAAATAAATGGCCGGACAGGATTGTTAGACAAGTCATCGCGAACACATAGACAAAGACAGTTGGTAAACATTCAGATGTGGAGGAAAGTTATGCTATCAGCAGAAGAATTCTAAAATATAAGACAGCAGATAATATTGGAAGAATAATAATATTAATAAATTTTCTTTAAAGACCTGTCGGGGTCCCAGCTTTTACAGCATAGAAACCATACTTCTGGACGTGAGGTGACACCGTCGTATCTAATTAACAGCCGGTAGGATGTTCAACTATTTGGTGAACTACGGGGAGGGCCATGACGGTTAATTCCGATATGGAGTAGATAAAGCATTGCGGGGAGTGTTGAGGGAGGAGTGTCAACGGCTGCGAGATAATGTTAACCGGCAATTCTCATTGACTTGCGGTTGCACCATTTCCCCCGGATCCCCGAAAGCGACTGCAGTCTGTTCAAACAAGTACTCCAATGCTGTAGGACTTTACGAGTCGCCATACTAACCACGCAATGTCACTATGTGATCGGTCGAGTTCCAGCCTGATCCTGAAAATTCCCGTGTGCACCTTTTTGCCTCATATACGCAGCAGACTACGTCAATACACTATCCTCCTCCCATAAATAAATGAATAAAGTAAAATAAAATAAGACAAAGATGCGAGCAGGACTGGCCTGCGTGTGGCAGTGTATAATGGATTATAATCGGACATCGTCAGCTCAGAAATAAATGTCAGCCTTGAGGGGTAAGTATGCGGGTCGGACAGGACTGGCCTGCATGTGGTATTGTATACGGGATTCAGAACAGACATCGTCAGGGCAGAATTGATACACCGGATGAGACTATTCATGTCAAAGTGGCGAGATGAGAGGAACCCAGACACGATAGGTCCCAGTCCGCTTCGAGCCCAGACGAAAAGTGGGCAAGAGAGGTACAACCAAACTACTAGTAGACGACGAATACAAAGGGTTTCACTGAGAGCGTCGATAGACCGCTTGAGGTCGAGATGAGGAGATGATATCAAGAACCGCGAAAATCGTCGCTATGATTCTGAGACTACGTTTCGA